CCATCACAGAGCCTTCTATTTTTTTGAAGTAAGATGTCATACATATACATGAAATACACTATGTACATAGACAACATCGTAAAGTACCAGTGTGTCCTTCCTTTTTTGTCTTACCTCTCTTTTCTTTTCTTTTTTTTGCCAATTTTTTTATTTATTTATTTATTAATTAAAGATTTCTGGCCGGGCGGTGGTGGTGCACGCCTTTAATCCCAGCAGAGGCAGGCGGATCTCTGTGAGTTCGAGACCAGCCTGGTCTACAGAGCTAGTTCCAGGACAGGCTCCAAAGCCACAGAGAAGCCCTGTCTCGAAAAACTAAAACAAACAAACAAACAAACAAAAGATTTCTGTCTCTTCCCCGCCACCGCCTCCCATTTCCCTCCCCCTCCCCCAACCAAGTCCCCCTCCCTGGTCAGCCCAAAGAGCAATCAGGGTTCCCTGCCCTGTGGGAAGTCCAAGGACCACCCACCTCCATCCAGGTCTAGTAAGGTGAGCATCCAAACTGCCTAGGCTCCCACAAAGCCAGTACATGCAGTAGGATCAAAAACCCATTGCCATTGTTCTTGAGTTCTCAGTAGTCCTCATTGTCCGCTATGTTCAGCGAGTCCTGTTTTATCCCATGCTTTTTCAGACCCAGGCCAGCTGGCCTTGGTGAGTTCCCTATAGAACATCCCCATTGTCTCAGTGTGTGGGTGCACCCCTCACGGCAGTCCTGAGTTCCTTGCTCGTGCTCTCTCTCCTTCTGCTCCTGATTTGGACCTTGAGATTTCTGTCCAGTGCTCCAATGTGGGTCTCTGTCTCTGTCTCCTTTCATCGCGGGATGAAGGTTAATATTCAGGAGGATGCCTATATGTATTTCTTTGGGTTCTCCTTCTTATTTAGCTTCTCTAGGATCACTAATTATATAGGCTCAATGTCCTTTGTTTATGGCTAGAAACCAAATATAAGTGAGTACATCCCATGTTCCTCTTTTTGGGTCTGGCTTACCTCACTCAGGAAAAATTACCCTAGGAAAATTAATCATCTTGTCAGTTCTTTAAAGTTTTTAGCCTGTCAATTTATTTAATAACTTTAATTAAATCTTCCAATGTCACATGTAAATATGTGTCTTAGACAAATTGTGTGCACATACGCTCTAGACCTGCTGTCACATTCTTGTAATCCCATTACTTGTGAATCTAAATCAGGAAAATGAAGTTAGAGGCCAGCCTTGGCTAAATAGTAAGACCCTGTCTCAAGGGGGGAGGGGAACTGGCAGGGTGGCTCGGTGGGTGAAAGCATTTGAGTCTAATTGCTGAGCCCACAAGGTGGAAGAAGAACCAACCTTCAAGCAGTAGGAAAAACAGCCCATTGCCTACCCACTCCCACTGTTCATTGCTGTGGGGTCTTGGGCAAGGGTATTTTGGACAGTCTTTATTCCAGGTTGACCTCAACCATTGGAATTATAGACATGTGCCTCTGTGCCCAGCTTTAGTTCCCTGGAACTTGATTTTCTCAGTGTCTTTAAACAAGGCTTATGATAAAATAATTGAACTTCATAGGCTCACGGCATAGATTAACTAGAGGTCCACATAACAGCTTAGTGACTCTGTCCAACACCTAGTGAGAACAGGAGTGATGATAGCTATACACATTCTTTCTTTTTTTTTTTAAATATTTATTTATTTATTATGTATAAATATTCTGTCTGTGTGTATGGCTGCAGGCCACAAGAGGGCACCAGACCCCATTACAGATGGTTGTGAGCCACCATGTGGTTGCTAGGAATTGAACTCAGGACCTTTGGAAGAGCAGGCAATGCTCTTAACCTCTGAGCCATCTCTCCAGCCCCTACACATTCTTTCTTGAGTGTGGACCTCATATCCTGCATGACTGGTAACTCATTCGTGGGGCTTGATTTGGGAAGCACACAGCTGGGGCGTCCTCATTGGCTTTTCAGTAAGCTTGTCGGGGTAGGATATAGACCTGCATTTGTGAGCTGCCCTGAACTGACAGTGCTAATTCTTCTCCAGGTGAAGAACATCATATACCACGCAGTGAAAGATGCTGTTGGCACTCTCAAGGCCCACGAATCCAAACTGGCAAGGTCTTAAGGCACGGGGAACTTCCAGCTCTCCTGTGAAGCAGGCCTTTCACAACACTTACCAGGGAACGGCAGGGCTCTCTGCAGGAGCAGAAGCCCTTCCCCAAGCCAGTGTGGTCAGTATTACAAACTCTCCAGCCGCTCTTTCTATGCTGCCTCAACACTGAAGGTTGACACATGAAAATGGCACTGTTCACACACACAGTTTCAGATTCGAAGCTGAGGGTGCCACACTCCATCCAGTGGCCTTTGGGAATCCAGGTTGCTTGAACATCGCTGGGCTCTCCTGCACATCTCCTGGTTTGAGACCATGGAAACCAGGAATGTGGGCACACCTTCCTTCTCTGTTCCTCTTGTGCCTAGCTCAGTGGGACTGTGTTTGGAGGCGGAGGAAGTCATAACTGGTAAAGTAAGGAGATACAATGTGCCTGGTGGAAGCCCGGCCATGTCTCTGCACATGACTTCTGACCTGGCCCATCCCAGGAGATGGGGTGCAGCCATTCCCCATACTCTCTGTGAATATGGAGTCTTCAAGACCCAGGGAGAGCCTACAACTTTTCCCAGGAGGCTTCAGGATTAGGAACCGTGTGTATTAGTGAGAACTAGGTTTGTAGTGAAATAGTTACTATTTCATGAAAGTAGATATTTTTAGAACTTTTGAAATAACACAGTTGTTTTCCTGGACTACAAGGAAAGGCACATTACTTTAGTCTTCCTTTCAATAAAACTCTTTGAAAGATATGATTTTTAGAAATCAGCTGTCCCTTATAGCACAAAATCAGCCAAAGCGTAATTTAAAAGAATTGGCATTTTACTATAATCCTTTAGTTTCTCCCTCCCTCTCAGTCTTATCTCGAGGGAACAGTTGTCTGAGAAAGAACTGTGTCATGTCTGAGCTGTGGATTGTTCCCTGCGTGCACACCGCTGACTCCGGGATCTGTTTGCCGACTACCAGCGTTCCCTTGGGACTCTGCATATGTTTCCAAATGGGGTGGAAAGTTTGGTTTCCAATATAAGAGTTTTTTGTTTTTTAGAGTTTTGTCTGGAATTATTTTCAGCAAAACTTTACAACTCAGTGGAGTTTTTATTAAGAATTTACTTGGAAATGATGGAATTCACTGGCCCATAGGTACACTGGGAAATGTACCTCTTCCCAGGTGTACTGCCCTGCAGCCTTGTTTATATGTTCACAGTTACCTTTTTTTTTTTAAATAAAAGTCATTTACTGTAGAATACTTTTAATTTCACTTTCTGTACTTTAATTTTATTGAAGGGCTGATTGGGATTTCCATGTTCTTATTAAAAAAAAAATCTAACAAATCTGTTTGGAGCAGACAAATTCTTTCTGTGCCAACTTTTCTAAAGTCAAGACTACACTGTGGGCTGTCAGAGGTGTGGCTGGTTTCAGGGCCTCTTGCTGCCCTGCGCCTAATGATCTGATCACTCTTTGCCCTTGAGTTATGCTTAGTTGAGAGAAAGAACGTGCCCAGTGAGTTGGCTGGTGGAGTTTATGCTCACTGAACAAAAAGGGCTAAGTGGGGTCCTCCTTCCTTTAGGGTGCAGGATGCGAGAACAGTGCCCTAATGTACAGCCTGCACACAGCTCCAGGTGAGGCTGTGAGGTCATCCGACTGCATACCGTAAAGTGTGCGGCTCTGCAAAGGACCCAACTGGGGTTGTTTATTAAGCAAAATTAAAACTGTTCTTGTTGGGTAAGGACAGACTATATTCTAGTTAAAAGAGGTCTTTTGGGAAGGAAGTTATGTAGAAAAGCAAGAGGCATCATCAGAGGCCTGCTTCTCTGAAACCTATTCTTCTGAAACTTGCTTCTCTGAAAACACCTTCCAGAGCATTTGAGCCTAGAAACATAATTATCAAGCTAGAAATAGATTATTTGTGTTTTTCAAGGCTTCTAGGTTTGAATATGAGTCTTTGAAATACACAACTCCGAGCATGCCCTTACAGCCTGGTTGGACATTTTAATAATGTGGTCCACCCAAAGGATTATACCTCAACACAAAGCTGCAGGATGTAGCAGCTGTAAAGTGGGGCGGGGAAGGAGGGCAGTGGGGGGGCTGCTTTGCGAGCTAGCCTACATTCCGGATATAAATGTCTTCAGAAATAGGACATCCACCACCAATTGTATTTTCTGAGGGGGGTGGAGCTGAAGTCTCTGGACTTTTCACTGACTTGAGACTCATTCCTCTCTCTCCTATCCCCTCCCCATGAAATTAAATTTCACATATTCCTAACCCTGGCACAATTTACTACCCAAAAGTCCGATCAAACCATGTGAACAAATTCCCTTTTACCTGGAAATTGGCGGTTATTGATGAGGACTGGAGTGCACAGGTGCAGCCACACCTGGCCCAGGAGCCCAGGTGGACGTCCTGGAGCCTGCAGTGGAGGAGGAGAGTTCGATGGTTGGTCTTTGGAGCATGTAGCCTCTAAAATAAACTTCGCTTTATATCGTAACAAGTATGACTTAGTGGTTTTGTGACCCTCGGCATAGCAGTGAAAACCAATAACATCCACCTTCAAGATGAGGATTAACTGTAACTTCTGACTTATAGGGTAGTTGTGAGGATTCAATGGAATAACACACAAAGCTCTAAGCACAGGGCCTGCCAGTTAAGCACTAAAGCAGCTGTTGCTCCTGGTGGGCTCTTGAGGCCTTCAACCTGATGTGGGCAGGGCCAGAGGTGGGCCGAAGCTAATGTCAAAAGGATGGAACCGTAAGAGTCCCCGCCGGGAGCTTGGCCTCCACCTTGAAGCTCAAAGAAAATGAACTAGCGATCTAGCGATATAGAGGCAGGCTGGGCACTGAGGGTGAAGGCGCATGCCCAGCCACAGCAGGTGCTGGGGGGGCGCGCCGACACAGCGGCCTCCCCTTTAAGAGCCGCCACCGCCCACGGCCCGCTGCTGCGGCAGGAACCTCCCCTTTAACGGCGGCAACTCCGCGCTCTGCTGACCCCACAGCGGCTGCCGCTGCTAACTGCAGCTCCTGCTGCCTCCACCGCCGGCCTCGGGCAGCTGCATCCTCGCCCGGGCTGGGTCCCCGCCCCGCCATGGTGTCCTGGATCATCTCTCGCCTGGTGGTGTGAGTGCCGAGGCGGTAGCGGGGCTCGCCCGGTGGGGGATGAGGGGGGCCGGTGATGGAGGGCGCGGTATTCAAGCCTGGGATGGATTAGCCCAGGGTTCCTATGTGGTGTCCCCAGAGACAGAGATGTGAGACCGAAGACTGGAAGGGGGGCATTACGGGAGTATACAGGCCTGGTTTCCCAGAGACTTCACCCATATTATTTTTAAAACCCGTTTATTCTTAATTGCCTTGCTCCTGCGCCCTCCCCCATCCTAGAGGCTGAGCAGCTACTGATTTATAAGGGGAGGCAGGCACATCCCCTCCCCCACTGAGCAGATCTAGGCTGCAGGAGCCCAGCATACAAGACTTTCCTTTCCCTAGGGAAGAGAGTAAGACAGTGTGGGGAGCTTGACAGGGGCCTCATCATTCCAGAGCTCAGATCCAAAGCTTTCTGACCCTCCTCCTGCTTCCCCGGCTAGAGACTGGATGAGGACACCTGCCCTAGGCATCCAGGGAGGAAGGCTGGGCCTGGAAGCCGAGGTGCTGGGAGGACAAAGTGGGGAGGTAACAGGATGGATGTCTATTATCTGCCTAGGATTGGGAAAACATTCGGTAGCCTTGATCCCAGACACATTGTAACAGTCACATTGTGGAGCTATGGCCCTGGCACCTCCCCCGGATACAGGAAGAAATACCTCCCTCCCGCAGGAGCCTAAATGTTGGCCTTGAGGATTCTGGCCCACTATCCAGCATCAGCACGGGCAGCGAGTGCCCTGGCTTAGCAACACCCACACTAGAAGGGGCGGGGCTTCAGAGCCAACCCTTCCTCTAGTTCAGGTTCTGACCCTCAGCCTCCATCAGGACTGCCATACCAGGAACCCCACCCTTCTTCCCAGTCAGTGTTGTCACAGGCCTGTGTCCTGGTTTCCTCTCAGCCCATTGGGGTTTCCTCTTCCCACCCGCTAGAGGCCTTATCTCTCCGCGTGGCATTCCAGATGATTGGTTCCCTCCTGGCCTGGGGAAACTCCCTCCCTCCACCCCCACCCCACCACTGATGTCCTTTCTGTAATCTACAGTGGGATGCTCAGACAGGGTCTTAACTGTACCTGACCTCAGACCATGTTGACATGGGGTTATAAACCTCTGTCTCTTTCAGGACCTCCTGAACCTGTGCCCTCTAGTCCCAAGATCACAATAGTTCTGACTGCCAGGTTGGGTGCCCTATTAGGTGATGTTAGGTTCTCTTGGAGAATTAGTTCTACCCAGGCTGTCTCTGAGACAAGGAAGTGGAGAGTATGAACAGATGGGTTGAGCGGGCATTAGGCCAAGAAGGAAGACATCTCCTGGCAGTGACCAGCCCCCTTAACTCCCAAAACATGTTTGTGCATCGCCAAGGATTCTGGCTGAAGGGACCTCTAGCCTCTAGGGGTCTAGGGGAAGGGCTGGATGTGATCTTGGAGTCTTCACTTAATCCTTGACTAGAGCTCCTCAACCAGCTTCTTTGGAGCTCTGTTCATTTGCACCTTAGCCCTCCAAGGGCTGATGCAGAGCTGGGAGGGAGGAGGGCCCAGTAACCATGCCTGCCTCCCTAGGCTCATCTTTGGCACCCTGTACCCAGCCTACTCTTCCTACAAGGCCGTGAAGACCAAAAACGTGAAGGAATATGTAAGTGAACAACATTTAACAAACACGGGGGGAGGGGGGGCATTTTATCACATTACAGGTGGGGGGAGACAATGGCTTCGTGCCATGCTGTCCAACAAAACCCTGAGCAAAAGAGGTTCTGGGATGTTCCCTATTCTCCACCCAGGCTTGGTATGATTGACAAAGGGCCTGGGGAACTTTCTCCCAGGACTTCAGTAGAGAGCAGGCAGCAACATGGGGTCTTGGGTTTCCTTGGCAGCCGGGGACCTTGGTGTTTACATATCCTCAGTCCTAGGCCCCATATAATGCTGCCCTTTGCCCCCCAGGTAAAATGGATGATGTACTGGATCGTCTTCGCCTTCTTCACCACAGCAGAGACACTCACGGATATCATACTGTCCTGGTGAGGTCCAATGGCCGCTCCTTGTATCTCAAGACCCAGACCCTTTCCCTTTAGAAGCCAGACAGGCAGAAGGTTGGGACCCAGGCTAGAGTTACCCCAACTTCCAACAGCCCCTGGGTGTCCTTAATACTGTTCTTAAGGCCTGATATCAGCAGAGTAAGAACAAATGTAGCAAGCCGGGCATGGTGGTCCACGCCTTTAATCCCAGCACCTGGGAGGCAGAGGCAAGTGAATCTACATAGTGAGTTCTGAGACAGCTGAGGGTACCCTAGCCCAAAAGCTTGACAGACTGTCCTCAATTCTGGTGACAGCCATAGCACCACAGTGGAATTCACCGATTTTGTGTCCACTCCTTCGTCCTTGTTGGAACAGTAGACAGATTGCCAGTTCCTAAGCCTTGTCTTCCCTGTTTGTGGGACACTGGATGCTCATATTTCCAAGGCATTGCACTAATAGGCCTAAAGTATAGGAGTGTTACAGGGACGGGGAACATGTCTGAGCAAGCACCTCTTGAAGAGGACAGTCCATGGAATTTGAATCACCTGTAATCCCAGGCGCCCATAAGGTATCCCAGCCTGGCCTACGTAATCTCAGTGCAGGGGGCAGAAAGGTGGCTCAGCAGCAAAGCCCTGGCCACATAAGCCTGCTGACCTGAGTCTGATCCCTGCAAGCCAGGTAAGAGTGGAAGGGGAGAAGCAGCCCCAGATGCTGTCTTCTGACCCCCACATTGCACTGTGCAGAAGCCTGCACCCAACACACACATGTGCTCATGCACATATCATACATGAGTAAGATTTTTTTAAAGATTTATTATGTATAGTGTTCTGTCTGCATGTACGCCTGCAGGCCAGAAGAAGGCACCAGATCTCATTACAGATAGCTGGGAGCCACCTTGTGGGTACTGGAAATTGAACTCAGAACCTGTGGAAGAGCAGCCATCCCTCCTGCCCCCATGGTTAAGATTTTTTTAGAAAGGCAATAGCATCTAGGTGGTGGTGGTGCACACCTTTAATCCCAGCACTTGGGAGGCAGAGGCAGGAGGATCTCTGTGAGTTCAAGACCAGCCTGGTCTATAGAGAAGAAAAAAAAAAGCAAGAGCTTACTGGCCAGGTACCTTCCTAAATCTGCTTACTATTCTGAATTCAAAAAAAGCATAATTTTTATCTCTCATAGTCTTTCCCTTTCCTTCTTTTTCTTTCTTTTCTTCTTTCTTTCTTTCTTTCTTTCTTTCTTTTTCTTTCTCTCTCCCCCAGATAGTTTCACTATGTATTTCTGCCTGGGCTAGCCTGGAACCCTTTATGAAGCCCGAGTTGGCCTCAGAATTGCAATGATCCCCCAGCCTCTGAAATGCTAGAATTACAGGTGTATAATGCACCACAATGCCCAACTTTCTCTTTTTTTAAAAAAATGCTTGTTTTATGTGCATGGGCGTTTGGCCTGCATGTATGTCTGTCCACCACCTGTGTGCCTGATGCCAGTGGAGGTCAGAAGAGGGCATTAGATCACCTGGAAATGGAGCACAGACAGTTGTCAGCCACCATGTGGGTGCTGGGAACTAAACCCAGGTCCTCTGCAAAAGCAGCCTGTGCTCTTAACCACTGATGACCTCTTTTCTTTTTTCTTTCTCTCTTCTCTTCTCTTCTTTTCTTTTTTTGTTTGTTTTTCAAGGCAGGGTTTCTCTGTGTAGCCCTGGCTGTCTGGAATTCTCTGTAGACCAGACTGGCCTCAAACTCACAGAGATCCGCCTGTCTCTGCTTCCCAAGGGCTGGGATTAAAGGCATGCACCACAACAGCCTGGCCCCTCTCTTTTCTAAAAGTGCTTTCCTTAATACTTGGAGCTTCCTCCCCCTCTCCCCCACGCGACAGCTTGTCTGCCACGCCTCTGACCTCGCTGTTCTTCCTTTGTTTCCATTCCCTTCTTCCCAGAAGCTGCTGAGGGTAAAGCTTGCCTGCCCTGGGATTATTTGTTTGCTTTCCTTCTACGCTCCAATAAAGTTGTCCTTGACTTCACAAAACATTTTTAAATAAGAGGCAAAGAAAATGTAAAGATTGGAAGGCAAACTGTCATTTCATTTGTAGATAAAGCCCTTGTATTCACCAGCAATAGTTTCAGTAGAGAGAAGGTAATTTAGAGATTTTGTTAGAAGACACTGCGTGGTAAGTCTAGATTCCCTGGGCACAAGTGAAGGAGAGGGCTTGGATGAGGGCTTTGTGAGGATGTAGAAGACTTGCTGGAGGTTGCGGCCTGGGCGTAAAAGCCTGGGGGAAATGGAGAGCGGTACTCAGAAGGCAAAGGACCTGTCAGTGATGCGAAGGGCACTTGACGCTGGCATCCGCTGCTAATGTGAATGCAGTGTGAACACAGTGTGAACGCAGTGAGACTACCTCTCAAACAGTTGTTAGCTAAAAATACTGAAGGGCTAGAGAGATGGCTCAGTGTGTGAACCTTGCCATGCAGAACCCATGTTTAAAAGGCAGTGATGGTGTATGCTTGTAATCCCAGCTCAGGGAAGCAGAAAGATGGAGACCAGGACTGACTAACAGCACCAAAGGCTGACATCTGGTCTGCGTGTGTGCGTGCGCACGTGCGCGCGCACACACACACACACACACACACATGAAAACACTCAATGGTAGAGAGCTGAGCATGTCTGGGGCCAATACTGAAAAAAAGGGGGTAGGGGTCATGTCATGGCAGCAAGGATCAAGATCCAGACACCATTCCGGTCCTCATCATGGAAGGAGGGCGGGAACCCGGAAGACAGGTGACATCCCTCAGCATACAGGAAGGAGAGCTGCTTGCTGGGGAAATTCCTTCTGGGATCTCTTTTTGCTTTTTTTTTTTTTTAATTTATTTATTTGTTATGTATACAATATTCTGTCTGTGTGTATGTCTGCAGGCCAGAAGAGGGCACCAGACCTCATTACAGATGGTTGTGAGCCACCATGTGGTTGCCAGGAATTGAATTCAGGACCTTTGGAAGAGCAGGCAATGCTCTTAACCACTGAGCCATCTCTCCAGCCCCCTCTTTTTGCTTTTTGCTTTGTTTTCTTTTTGAGACAGGTCTTACGACCCCCAGGTTGACCATGAACTCCTTGTGTAGCTGAAAATGACCTTGAACTCACGATCCTCCTGCCTCCACGTCCCAGGTGCCTGAGATTGAGGAATGTATCCCGTGTCTTTGGTTTGTGGTTTATTTTGAGATAGGGTCTCAGGTAGCCCAGAGCGGCCACAAATTTGTGACCACCCTGCCAAGTACAGGGATTATAGGCATATACCCAATTGGAGTCACTTCTCTCTCTCTCTCTCTCTCTCTCTCTCTTTCTTTCTTTCTTTCTTTTCTTTCCTTTTAAATTATTTATTGTATATACAGTGTTCTGCCTGCATGTATGACTGCAGGCCAGAAAAGGGCATCAGATCTCATTATAGATGGTTGTGAGTTGCCATGTGGTTGCTGGGAATTGAACCTTTGAGCCTTCTCTTCAGCTATCTCTCTCTTTCTGACACAAAGAAATCTTTGTAGCCCTACCTATCCTAGAACTTTCTCTGTAGACCAGGCTGGCCTTGAACTCACAGAGATTCGCCTGCCTGTCTCTGCTTCCTGAATGCTCGGATTAAAGGCATGTGTCACCACCACCCGGCTTGGGGTCACTTCTTACCTTCCCACGTGGAGTCTCAGTTTAGCCCCACCTTCGCAGTCCTCTTGGAAACCTATGGCCCCAGAGCACTAGGGGTGGGAACTGTTCCGGGGTCAATGCTACTCGATCCAGTATCCCCTAACTCTCGTGTGCCTCTGTCCTCCTAACAGGTTCCCCTTCTACTTTGAGCTCAAGATTGCTTTTGTGATTTGGTTATTGTCCCCTTACACCAAGGGCTCCAGCGTTCTCTACCGCAAATTCGTGCATCCAACTCTGTCCAACAAGGAAAAGGTTCGCCCCAACCTTCAACTCTTCCCAGCCTGACCCAGCTGAGGCATTCCTGAGCCTGCAACCACATACATTTTCCGGGGGCGGGGGTGGGAGGGTGGGGGAGTAACCTTGTAGAGCCCAGTTCCCTGGGCCGGGCCGTGTCTTTGCCTGCAGCCTTACCTCTCGGGTCTCCCGTCCCCGCAGGAGATTGACGAATATATCACACAAGCCCGAGACAAGAGCTATGAGACCATGATGAGGGTGGGCAAGCGGGGCCTGAATCTGGCCGCCAATGCCGCAGTCACAGCTGCTGCCAAGGTGAGACAGGGCTGGGTCCATTCCCGTGTCCTGTCTTCAGGCCTTTGGGTTGTGCGGCTCCACGCTCCAGCCTTGTTTCTTCTACTGTCTGGTCAGTTTTCTCATCTGGCCAAAGGGAAAATATCCCAACACTATGGTAACCTCTCTCTCCACCCCGCCCCTCCCTCCTGCTCTCTTGGTGCGTGGTGGTAACCCTAGGGCCAGGGGGTGCTCTCCGAAAAGCTGCGGAGCTTCAGCATGCAGGACCTGACTCTCATTCGAGATGAGGATGCATTGCCACTGCAGGGGCCTGATGGCCGCCTCCGACCTGGCCCTGGGGGGCTCCTGGACACTATTGAGGACTTAGGTAATGGCAGACCCCGGGCTGTAGGAAATAGGACAAAGCTGAAAAGACCAGACAGACGCCTGAGCCTTTATTCTCTCCCCGCCCTCCAAACTAGGAGATGACCCTACCCTGAGTGTAAGGTCCAGCACAAGCCAGGCAGATCCCCGGACAGAGACCTCAGAAGATGACCTGGGAGACAAGGCACCCAAGAGGACCAAATCAATCAAAAAAGTCCCCAAAGCTGAGGTGAGAACACAGGCCATGGCCTGGGGAAACTGGGACGATGGAGTGGGACCAGGCTGAGCCCCATCATCGTTTCTCCATAGCCGGTGGCTTCCAAGACGCTAAAGACCCGACCCAAGAAAAAGAGTTCTGGAGGAGGTGACTCCGCTTGAGGCCCCGCCTCCCCCCACCCTTGCAGCTGTAGGCCAATAGCAAGCACTGGGGGGAGCTGCAGCCCTAGCCCCCCCTCCACAGTGGGCCAGACCCGAGAACCCCCTAGATGGTTGTTTCCTGTGCCTCTTCCAGTGGACACTCCTCCAGAGGGGGCTGGGCAGAGAAGAGGGAGGCACAGTTGTCGGGTTGAGGCCAGAAGTTGATGACTGAGCCCTTGAGGAGGTGGGGGTTTCCCGGCCAGCATCGCTCTTCGGCTGCTCTAGCCCCGCCCCGCCCAACCCATCCAGTGCCTTGCTGAAGACCATGGCCATCCCCCTCTGCGAGGCCTGCCATGCCTCCACCGCTGTCTCTTCAATAGGGGGTAGTGGCCACTGTCCAGAGAGACCAAGGAGGGGGGCCTTAAGGCACCTTGAGAAGGGGAAGAAGTGGGGAGGGGGCTGCTCAGGCCCAGCTCTGAGTGAAGACACGGCCTTGCCAGAACCGTAACTGTAGGGCTGTGTGCTCTCCATACCACCAGAAAGAGGTGGGATCCCAAGGCCACGCTTGCTGGCGAGGTTCAGCCCTGGGCTTCCTCTTTATCCACCCCTGCTGGTCTCAGAACCTCAGAGGCCCCAGGCCTTTGACAGAATGAGGCCCCAAGGGACTGTCCCCTACCCTTCCATCCTTGGTCTAGGCTGGACTTCTCCACTCCCAGGGCCCACTATGGAGGTCCTGCCAAGCTGGCTCCTCTCCTGTCAAAGGGACCCATCCTACCTTGCCATGGGGTCCCCTTCCTGTGCCAAGCATACCCCTGTCAGAACCAACCTGGACCCCACCCCTGGCCCTGGGTCTGCTAGCTTCACTTAGGGCCAAGTGGAATCCGTGAAGAAGGAAGAGGAGCTGAGCAGCTCCTGATCCCACAGTGCCCACTGGATGAGCCAATAAACTAAACTCTGCCACCTCCTTCATTATGGCCTCCGCGTTATTCTTGCCCCACCAAGCCAATAGGTGGGAAGGACCCACTGAGAAGACTCGGCTGTGGGGGGGGGGGGGGGGGGGGGGGAGGCCAGATGAACACGGGAGATGAGTCAAAGTCCTTAACCCCATGAGTTGTTTTACACCCCAGAATCTCAGATCCCCTCAGAAGTTAACTCTGGGGACAAGGACCCCAGCGAGGTGCCCAGGGGAGACAATGAGATAGGCTGCTGTTAAACAGCTGGAGATGGGGCAGAAAAGTCCAGGACTGCTGGAGTAGGGTGAGGGAAGAAAAGAAGCAAAGGAAGTTTTGTGGACAAACCAGGTCTGTAGGTCTTGGGGACAGACAGACAAATCCTGGGACCAGAGTTTAGTGTGGAGTCAGAGAAGGCGGGGCCCTGACTGATGGTAGGTTCTAGGAAAGGAGTCTGAGATATGGGAGGAGGCTTGGTTGAGGAGGAGGTGGCCCTGGAGGACCAGGACCCGGGAGGAAGGGATCTAGGCTGGCAGAGGAGCTGAGGCAGTGACCGTCTCGGTCTGTGGAAGAACCTCATAGTGGGGGTGGGTGGAGCACCAACCTAGACGTCCCTGGCATCACAGGGCACGTGTGCCCACCGTACTGTCAGAACTTCCGGAACTGAGATGTGAGAACATAAGAGGGCCTTTTTGCCAGGTGGTGGTGGTGCGAGCCTTTAGACCTAGCACTAGGGGAGCAAAAGCAGGCAGATCTCTGAGTTCGAGGCCAGCCTGGTCTACAGAGCAAGCTCCAAGACAGTCATAACTGCACAGAGAAACCCTGTCTTCAAAAAACAAAAAACAAGCCGGGCAGTGGTGGCGCACACCTTTAATCCCAGCACTTGGGAGGCAGAGGCAGGCGGATCTCTGTGAGTTCGAGGCCAGCCTGGTCTACAAGAGCTAGTTCCAGGACAGGAACCAAAAGCTACAGAGAAACCTTGTCTGAAAAAAAAAAAAAAAAAACACCACCAAAACAAACAGAGGAGGTTTTCCCCCCAGACCCCCAGAATCCTCTCATCGAGCCCTCTGGGGGCTTTCCTTTCACCACTGGCCCTGTTTAAATTGCCTTTCTATTGCTATGATAAACACGATGACCCAAGGCAGCTTGTGGAGGAAAGGCTTTATTTCAGCAGACAACTCTCGGGTCACACTCCACCACAGACGAAAGTTTGAGCAGGAACCGAAGCAGAGGCTGTGGAGGAACACTGCTCACCGACTTGCTCCTACGGTCCCTCCATCAGCATTCGTGTTCTACCTAGGATCACCCAGGGGCAGCACTGGCCACAGGAACTGAGCTGTCCCACATCTGTCATCAGTTAAGAAAACGAACCACAGGGCTGGAGAGATAGCTCAGAGGTTAAGAGCACTGGCTGCTCTTCCAGAGGTCCTGAGTTCAAGTCCCAGCAACTGCATGGTGGCTAATAACCATTTATAATGAAATCTGATGCCCTCTTCTGGCCTGCGGGCATGCATGCAGGCAGAAAGAACACTGTATATTCAATAAATCTTTTTTTAAAAAAAAATCTGGCCGGGCGGTGGTGGCGCACGCCTTTAATCCCAGCACTCGGGAGGCAGAGGCAGGCGGATCTCTGTGAGTTCGAGGCCAGCCTGGTCTAGAAGAGCTAGTTCCAGGACAAGAACCAAAAGCTACGGAGAAACCCTGTCTCGAAAATTAAAAAAAAAAAAATCTGACAATTTCTTTAAAAAAGAAAAAAGATGGGGCTGGAGAGATGGCTCAGTGGTTAAGAGCATTGCCTGCTCTTCCAAAGGTCCTGAGTTCAATTCCCGGCAACCACATGGTGGCTCACAACCATCTGTAATGAGGTCTGGTGCCCTCTTCTGGCCTGCAGACATACACAGACAGAATATTGTATACATAATAATAAATAAAATTAAAAAAAAATAAAAATAAGAAAAAAGATGCACCATAGACTTGCTTATCTGATGGAAGCAATTCCTCAGGGTTTCCTCATCTCAGATGACCCTAGCCTGTGTCAAGATGACATAAAAGCTGGCCAGCAAGCCGGGCGGTGGTGGCGCATGCCTTTAATCCCAGCACTCGGGAGGCAGAGGCGGGCGGATCTCTGTGAGTTCGAGACCAGCCTGGTCTACAAGAGCTAGTTCCAGGACAGGCTCCAAAACCACAGAGGAAACCCTGTCTCGAAAAACCAAAAAAAAAAAAAAAAAAAAAAAAAAAAAGCTGGCCAGCACAGAGATTGAGGAATTCGGCTTTTTTTTTTTTTTTTTTTTTTTTTGGAAAGGAGAAGAAGGTACCAGTCAAGAAAAGAGACTCAGTCTAGAAGATCCCCAAAAGGTAGTACAATGTTAGCACTTACCGTATAACCAGGAAAATGGGTTAGGTATTCTGTGCAAATTGCACTTGCTACATATCACGTGTGTGCACCTGCACACACACACACACACACACACACTCACACTCACTCACATACACACTCACACATACACACACAGTGGTAGTTAGACCACTCCCGGATTCCACATGGACAGACTCTACATATACATCTGGGTTTTTTTGTGTGTCAAAAGAAAGATGTTCAGATTTCCAAGCTCCTTGTTCTGTTGCCATGGAAACCTTCAGGCTTCCAGAACTCTGGGCACAGGGCCTGCTTCCTGTGGTGCAGGGGAGGGGAGGAGAAATGGAGGGTGACAGAATAGTTGGAGAGCCTTTTAGGAGAAGATTGGCTGGTGGGGCACACTGGGTCTGGGTGACCTAATGCCGTCCCCTCATTCCCTTGGTCTACCTGCCCTCTTTCCTCTCCTTCAGCTCTTCTCAGGCTAGAGGCGTACAAAAGACGTCCATTAGAGCTAGGTGGAGGGCACTAGCTGCCTGGGTCCTCAGCAGCCTTTGAGGGGTGGGGTCTAGGGCTAAATCACACGTCCAGGCTCCTGGGAACATTAGGCAACCCTCCAGGACTATGTTCCAAATTATGATGGCCTCAGGCCTGAAGCTGCTTTATCTGACTCCTCCTCCCTTTTTGTGGGTGTCCCAACCTCCCAGGAACCTGCTTAAAATGGGATTTCCAGGCCCTGACGTCAGAGGAAAGCCAGCAGCTCCCTCGAGCCTGTGCCAGCTCTAACGTGATTAGCAGAGCTAAGTGCAGCCTTGCTCAGCCTGCAGGAAAGCAATGCTAGCAGAGGAGGGAGGGACTTGGGATCCTAAACAGTGACCTGCCTAATCTGTGGCATCCCGGGTGACAGGAGCACGTTGTTTCGAAAGACCCTGCTGGTTTCCCTGCTAACCTAAAATTCAGCAAGTGCATGATCATTACTCTAGCAAGCGCCATAGTTATTTCTTCTCAGTTCTGGGTCTCACGCCTGGCTCGAGGAAGAAAACGGCCATCTCAAGTCAGTCCTGAGAGCTGGACAGCGGCTTCTGTTTGGATCTTACCCAAGCGTAGGCTGTGGGAGCTCTGCCTGCAAGGTGTCAAACGGTCCACTAGGTGGCGCAGCTCCCTCCCAGTGTGAGAGTCCATCACCAAGCAGAGAATAATCTCTCCAATGGCTCAAGGCCTGGAGACCAGAAAGCCTCATACTCTGCTCCATGCGAGGGGAGACTAACTGGAGAGAACGCATCTTTGAGGGTAGACAGGACAGCCGTGGGTTCTTCTGCAATCTCGGCCTGAAACCAGTCGTCACTCAGAACTGGAGGTGGACAGACAAGACTCAGAGAATGAAACCTGGGAAGGGTCCTGCACAGCTCTGGGTGCCGGAGACAATGTCAGGCTTCCGCCAGGAGGGACCTAACCTGGGCTTCCAAACTAGCATCTGAGAGACACCTAGTGAAATGGATTTCAGGGTCAGGAGAGGCGAGGGGCAGAGTTGGGGGTTGTGGGGAAAGATTTCCACAGAGTTGTTGCATCCTGGACTTGGCCACGGTGACATCTCAGGCCTGCCCCAGGCTTCTCTGACCCCTGGTCTTTTCCATTATTTTCATCAAGGATATTATTGAGTTGGAAGAGAGAACAAAATGCCTACCCACCCACCCACCCACCACACACACACACACACACACACACACACACGCGCACACACACACACCTACCTCTTAGAATCCCCAAGTCTTCTTGCAGGGTCTGGCAGGGAAGAGATGCCACCTTGGTGACCTACCTTTCTCTGACCTTTCCCTCCAACTGACCCCAGTGGCCTTGTATCCCTGATAAATTACCCTCTCCTTTTGTCCCAGCCAGATGAGTGATCAATAAATTATGTTGCCTGAAATATTGATGGAGAGTTTTACACCAGCATCCCTCAGCTGTGCCTGGCAGGGGCATGACCCTCCAGATAGCCTTCCACACTGCCAACAAGAGGTTTCTCTTAGGCTGAGATTTCCACCCGTTCCCATCTGAACCAAAACCATGACTAAGTTTCAGCAAGTAAGAGGAAGATTGTGAGTGATTTACTTCACCCTGAGGAGGGAGCTTTGGCTGAAACAAGCAGAGACCCCTCCTGATTGATTTCCCATGATGCCATCCTGATCCTACTTCAGTTCCCTGTCCACCCTGGGCCTGCAAGGTCCGCTTTCTGAGTGGCCTGAGCAGGAGGACCTTCATGTGTGGGGACGGTAGGGAACACCTGTAACCCAAGCCCTCAGGAAGTGGAGGTAGAAGAATCACTCCCAGCTCAGGCCAGCCTGGTCTACATGAGTTCCAGGCTAGGCAGGACCACATAGGAGACTCTTGTCACAACAAAACATAATACGTGAACAAAATAAAAGTGGTCATGTGCCCAGATGTCTCTGGCCCAGGTCGCTGGCATCTGGCTGGTCTCCAGCATGAAGGGTAAAAAGAGGAGGGAGAGAGGGAGAGTTGCAAAGAGAGGTCTTGCTCCAACCCACGGCCACCCTCCCGACTCTGCTCGGCAGAAGCCATGGCCTCTCACATCGGCGCACGGCGCTTCTTTCTGCCCAAGCTTCCTGGCTCTCCTGCTTGCCTAGGTCTGCTCCTCCA